ATTCTACTTCTGTAGCTTTGGATTGATTTGGGTGAGGGAGGAGGTCGGGAGGTGGGAAGAAGCAGGGATGCAAAGGGAGAAGAAAAGCACTTTTCGTTTCCTCACCTGTAACCCTCATGGTTCAATCTGACTGTGGGCTACAGATCAGATGATAGGAGGAAATCACACAGACAAAATTCTTAAAGCTCAGACCACACTGCAGGAGAGAGGGATGGTTCAGTGCTGTTGCAATGACAGCGTTTGGGTTTTCCTTCTGCTGGGGGCCTGGGCTGCGCATGCTCCAGAGGAGCCCTGGCACCTTTTGTGGGCAAGTCTGATGAGGCTGCACTTTGCAGACTTGGAGGTTGCATGGAGCTTGTGCTTTGCAGACCATGCCTCTGGCAGGGTGCCTGTGGGTGTGCAAGGGGAGGGAAGGGAGACCCCCACACCTGCTGGTCACTCCTGAAGGGAAGCGAGAAACTGTCCTCCAGCTGCTGATCCCACGTCTGGGGGATGGCATGGGAGGCAACCTGAACCACCATTCTACAAATGGATTTCCCCTTTCATGCTTCAGAGCCAGGGATGTGGCAGGCTGGCAGGGATGTTCCTCAGAGCTCCCCTCTGAACGCTCCTGCAGCACCACCCAGCTCACAGGGCGTGACTCCTGAGGGTTGTCCGGGCAGATGTGGCAATGGAGGTGCCTTGTCCTGTTCCCTGTGGGTGGATGTGGCAGCTTGGTGAAGTTATCACCATCCTAGGGGCCTTATCCATGTTGATTCTGCCCATGCTGCTCCCACTGGTGGAGTTGAACAACAGAGGTGAGAAATCTGGGGCCAAGAAATCGAGTTGAGGCAGTGTATAGAGTTACTTTTAAAATGAGTTTGATACCCAGATGAATCACAGTGAAGTAAGTTAACCTTTTAAAAGGATATACAAATCCAGCCACCAGCTGAGCATTATTGCTGTGTCCTGGCTAATTGCAGTGTAAGTGATGATTGTCTGTCTGAGCCCTTTCCTTGTCCTCAGCTACTGGAAAAAGCTGCTCTGTTCAGCCCAGCATCTTCTGTCATTCACTACACAGATGTTTTTCTTTTGAAGTTCTTTTGAGAACTCCATGAGGAAGGATCTGAAAACCAAAGACTCAGACTGGTTTTAGGCACAAGGATAATATTGTTCTTTACTCATGTCTAGCAGTTACCTGAAAGCACTGAATGCATAACTTGGCTTAGTTATTTCAGACCATACTTTTGTTTTCCTCTTGCTGCTACTCAGTATTCAGAAATACCAGCACATCCAGCACTTTGTAGTGCTTTTCCCAGTGTGCTCCTGCGTTCAGCTCCCTCAGACAGAGAAACAGTCATACTGGGTTCTACAGCCACATGTATTTTGCAATATTCCTCTGCCACTCGTTTTCAGCTGCACTGTCTGTTTCTGCTGCACTGTTTTGCCACAGGAGATGGACAGCGTTGTTCAGAACATTTCCCAAATGTTCAATAAGAATTTTTGGTTCTGCAGTTTAATGTTTGTTGCACTTCCTGGGCACGAGATGGTTCGCAGTTTCTTGGAAGAGCAGGAGAAGGAGTCTAAGGAAGAAAGGTTAAACCTTAGTCACTGGATTGATGGATTGCTTCACTTTACTTCCTTCATAATATATGGACATAAAACAAAATCTTACATCTCACACTTTGACATTTCTGGCAAACATAAAATACAGACCAACGGAAAAACAACAGCAACACATACCAGGAATCAGTCCCACAAAACCAACTTTACTTTGCTGCCACAAAACCCTAATCCCCATATTGTTAAAATATTTGCCTCTCTTCTTTCCTCCATACAAGCCAAGCCCACTTGACAGATAGTACATTTCTTTTTAGAGTCTACTGTCTTTGTGGTAACATTTTTATTTGCAGCATGAAAGGGCAGGAAGCCCACTGGTGATTTCCCATTGCTATTTATTTTGTGCAAGATTTGCTCAGGTGCTACAGCAATGGGTATCTGGGCATATTTTCTTCTGCAGTATCCAGCATGGAAGGGTCTTGATCCTGGTCAACCACACTCAGCATTAGCAACATATCAAGGCTTAGCTGTCCTTAAATAATTGTTGTTGTCATTGGCTAGATAACAGAATAAATGGCAAGGAAGTTGTACCCTGGGCAAGTATTGATTGCTGTTTCAAGATATTGCCAAAAATGAGATCCACAGAAACTACACTAAAATGTTACAGTACAGGTTGGTGAGACACCATGTTCTGAATTGTTTTCAACTTTGTTGAGAACATTATTGATCTTTTATATCCAAGGGGCCTTGGTTTCCTAAGTGTTTTCATTACAGCTTCTGGCTCACCTACAAGCACACTAAACCAAGAATATTTTGCTTGGGGAGCTAAGTGGTCTCTGGTCTGCCTTGCCCTTGAATTGAATCCGCCTTCTAAGAGACTTCCTCAGCCCTGATGTCGTCAGCAGAGCACAGAGTTGTGTTGGAACATGAGGGAAATATTAGATCATGGAAATTAACTAAGTGGAAGGACTTAATCTAATTCCTTCATTCTTAGGTTGTTGTTTTCCTAAAGTCATAACAAATTAGGAGGACTATCTGGAGCAGTGGGAAAAAGGAAAACCACCTTACTCATAACAAAACACAAGAAAAAAAATAGCAGTTCCAGGCTCATGATGCCTTTGCCTTATGTTCTGGTGTGTCCCTACTGACATCCTTTAAATACACACCATGTATTTTCCAGAACATGCTCTCCACTGTCTTGCATGGAGCTGTGGGTTACTGATGTTAATGGGATGTGGTAAAAAACAGTTCTAAAATTTCTGGTAAAAAGGACTGTGATGGATATGGTTATAGGCTGATGAGATGATCCAGAAGTGGTGCTGATAATCTGTGATATTACATATCATAGGAGTGGGGCTGGTTCAAAACAGCTGTAAAAAAAATGGAGCTTTTATTTTAATTGTTAGTGAGAGATGATACAAGGCATTCATTAGAATCTGAAGCTTGTAAACATGTTGGCCATGTAATAGTTCTGATAACCTGGCAGTGGCTGCAGCATTAGAGCATCCCTGAACCTGAGGACTGACTGGGGCAGTTTCCCAGCTGCCCTCAGACAGATGGAGGAATGGACGGATGCCAGACTTCTCTCTGTTTTCTCTACAGGTTTTATGTGACCCAGCAGAGCATTCCTGAAACAGCAGGTCCTGCACCACTCGTGTAGTAAAAGCTAATGGGTTTGTTGCTGAAATTTTTAGGTTTTCTGTGTGCAGTCGTAAGCATCCCATTTATCTAACAGCTGTGCTATTGTTGTTTATGACCGCTGACTTGAACGAGTTACCAGGAGCTGTTCAGAAGGGGCTCTCTGCTGCCTATGGCTGTTTTTATCTCTGCTTTCGTGCCCCTCAGGAAGAGCTGGGCTTTAAAAAGGTGTGACTCAGCACAGTTGTGTCATGTCATTTATTATTATTTCTTGCGGAGAGCCTTGGGCATTACCTCAACACAATTGTGAAACAGGGTCCTATTGTGGACCCTGTTGTACAGGGCCCTGTACACAAATAAGCTCAAGAGTAGTCCTGTTATAAATTGAACAATGAGAAATACCAGCTAGAGACACTAAAATGAGTACAGAAAAACAAGATAATGGTGTAGCCATCAGGGTCAGTCTGCAACTGCCTCAGCTGAAAACACAGGACTTCAAGCTTGTAAAAAGCTCCTTAAAAAAACCAAACATAAACTTTACATGTTATTTGTGAGTCAAACAGAAGCAAAAGTTGTGAAGCATTTGAAAGAAAATGGTTGCATAATGACTGAAGTGGGGTACTAGCAAACCTAGACTTGCATCTCATGATCCTTGCTGCTGAAGAACCAGTGTGTTTCTATGGCTGGTGGTTGTGCTCCCAGCCCTGTCCTTCTCTGACATCACACTTCTGGAATCTGCTTCATGGCAGGACTGAGAGTGTGCTGGGCCTCAGACCAGCTGTCTCAAACATGTCCACTGGTCTGGAAAGGATTCCCAAAATCCGGTTCTCCTCCTATGGGAAAGCACATTGACGACCAAAGAGAACCCATTAAAATAAAGGTTTCAGATATTTCCAATCTCTCTGGTGCAGAACTTGAGCTCAGTTAGATCAAGAACTCCAGGACCCTCGGTCTGGCTCCACGGATGACTGTCTTCAAGCAGCATGTCTTGAAAACACTGGAAACACACCTGTGAGCACAGAAGTTTCTAGATGTGTACCATGAACCAGTCAGATTCTTGTTCACTGAATATACACTATCTGGGGGTCTGGTTCATCTCTCATTGTTGATGTTTTCTTCTAAGAAAAGTCTGATGAGTCATGCTGGGTTGAAAGGGTGCCCACCAAAGCCCACTCTATTACTCCCCTCCTCAGCTGGACAGGGGAAAGAAAATGAAACATAAGGCTCATGGGTTGAGACAAGGACAAGGAGAGATCACTTGGCCATCACCGTCACGGACAGAACAGACTTGATGTGGGGAAATTGGCTTAATTTATTACCAATCAAAGCAGAGTAGCATGATGAGAAATAAAAAATGAATCTCAAAACACCCTCCCCCCTCCCTTCTTTCTTGTCTCAACTTTGTTCCCTATTTCTCTACCTCCTCCCCCTTAGTGATGCAAGGGGACAGAGAACAGGGGCTGGGGTCAGTTCATAGTTTGTCTCTGCTGCTCCTCCCTCCTCAGGGAAAAGACTCCTCACACCCTTCTCCAGTTCAGTTGTGGGGTCCCTCCCACAGGAGATAGTCCTCCACGAACTCCTCCAATGCGAGTCTTTCCCACGGGCTGCAATTCCTTACCAGCTGCTCCAGTGTGGGTTCCTTCCGTGGGGTGCAGTCCTTCAGGAACAGGTTGCTCCGAGTTGGATCCCCCACGGGGTCACAGGCTCTGTAAGCAACCCTGCTCCACCCTGGATTCACAGAATGGTTTGGATTGGAAGAGACCTTAGAGATAATCTATACCAACTCCCTTAACGTGGACAGGGACACCTTCCACTGAACCATCTCCAATCATAATGTGTAAGTGTCTGACCCCTGCCATGCATCTGATATGTCTTGTGTCTGCAAAATGCATTTGATTTTAGGGAAGCTTTGATCCTGCTTTGTGAATTTTCATGAGAGCTCCATTAAGACAAATGCCATCATGGTGGCTGAGAGAGAATTTCACTGTTGGGCTGAGAAGGTGGGTTGATTTGACCATCAGCAGCTGGGTATTGTATCAGGAGAACCCTTCTCAAGGTCCTGCCATTCACTTAAGGATTTATGACCTGCTATGTAGATGGTGGAATTTGTTCTTTTCCTCTTTGCTTGGAAGAAAATAATTTAAAGTCTGAGCATTAATGTCAGTTGACAGGTTTCCATTAACTACCATGGTCTTTGAGTCCACTCATATTTGAAGTGTTTGGTTATCTCTCTGCAAGAAGGTGGTAAATATGCAGGAGTGATTATATTATCCCTCTTGTCACTCCTTCCCTTTGCTGACCTCTAGCAAGGTAAAAGTTTTTGATGCTTGAGTAATCCCTGAGGGACAAAAAAAATCATTAAAAAATATCCATTTCTGCCTTGCTGCAGATGTAAAGGTACTACTTTTCTCTAATTTTATTTTTTGTAGCAATATTTACACTGTAAGATCACTGGAAGCTGAGAAGATGTAGGAATTTGGAAAGCAAAGCATAATGATTTTTCAGTCTCTGAACTGAGATATATAGAAGTATACTCTGCAAATAAATGTACAGACAATATATAGGTAGAAGATGATATTTCAATTGGACTGGGAAAATTTATATCCTTTCTTGGAGCCAAAGAAAATAAAAGGAATGGAAAAAAAAACAAGTCAAATGGCAACTCCCCTCCTCTCCTGAATCTTCCCTCTCCCCAGATTCCTGTTGAAAAGGTTGGATGTGAACAAGGAAAGGTGTGATTAGGCAGAGTAGGCATTGAAGTGGCAACAGTGCCACGACCAGCAACTTCTCCTCCACCTGCTCACTTCTACTGTTTCACTCTCCTGGCAGGTTGCTGAGCCAAGGTACCTTTCTCAAGGGCCTCACAAGGCTCAACAGCCAACACAAGAAGTGTTGCAGCTGCCACAGTTAGGAGGGGGAGCAGGAATGCCTTTTTCAAGCTGTAAGGCAAATTTTAGCATTAAATAGCTGCTGGGCAACAGCTTGGACTTTGAATGCATTTAATCCAAACCACACAATCTGAGCAGACCTCAGAAAGAGAAGGGGGCTTGAAATGGACATCACAAAAATAACAGCAGTGGAAGTAACAGAAGAAACAAAAAAGGACAGGAGAGTGGCCTGATTGGTTTGTGGCATGTTTTGAATAACCATGAGCTCATGAAAACCTCCAGACAAAGTCTGTTTTCTGCAGCAGAGAACTGGTCGCATTTCCTGCTGCCAGTATCTGGGTTGGGGATTCTGTGTGAGAGAGAGTTGTAGGAGCTGCTGGTGTCAGTGGCACCTAAAACTGGGTGAAGCATGCCATACCATGTCAGAACATTCAAGAGAAACAGAAATAATGTATTAGGGGTTTGGTTAGTAGGCAAAAGGAGGTGTTAAAGGATCCATTTTTGCATCCACCCCTTCACATTTACCCAAGAACACACAGAACTTCAAAGTAAACATTTTTCTTTTGCTGTGATTATGGTTTTCTCCTTTACAGTCCTCCTCCCACCTTCCTTCAGGTGTTCAAGGGACAAGACCTTGTTTCTGCTGATGTTGTTGCATAAAGTTGTTCAGCTGAAGTCTGTGAGGCCACACCAGGTGACCACAAATGAGTATCTGATTGTTCTTTTTTCCTCTGATTAACAACACAGACAAATTCTTCTCACTGAAGTCCCTTAGATAGTTCCTTGGAAGATAAGAGACCTGTCTGTGTGTGCAAGCCAGGCGAGCAGAAACTTGGCCAGGACTGCCCTGCCCCAGTGTCTGGTAGGTGACTGTGACAGTGGTAGGCTCCACTGAAGAAAATAAAATCCTAATGCTTTGTAATAGCAGTGCCTTTAAACAGAGCATGGGGCCAACCTTGTGATGAACCAACCTTGCAAGTCCTTTAGAAAATCATGGAGCTCTTTTTTTGCCTTCCTCTCACTCCTGTATAAAATGCTGAAGACAATTCTTGCTCCTCTAGAATAGGGATCTGCCCAGCCTGGAGGCAAGGCTAGAGGCAGATGAGGAAGCTTTGCTGCCACGTGCCTGCAGCTTGGCCAGGGGACACACATCTGTTTGAGAACATCTGGTTCAGCAAGCCTGTGGTCCCCTTCCCCACCTCCAGACTCCACACTGGTTTGTTCCAATTCTGTCACTCTACCTTGGCCATTATTATGTATTATGGCATGATTATCCACAGCACCACATTTTCCCCAATCCTTCCCATCCCCTACTCTATGCTCCATTAGACTGAGTGTGACCTGGTGCTCACAAACATACTTTCTGGAGCTGTATTTTAGTTTGTTCCTCCCGTGTGCCAGCTGCAAAAAGCTATAGAAGCAGACTATTTCTCTTCATCAGGGTGAGTTCACACATTTGTTTGGGAATTGATTCAGTGATATGTAGGAGTTAATTCCCCAAAGCCCCGTAATCAGGTGTATGTACCAGCACACCAGCTCCTCATGAGCAATTTGGAGTGACACAGAATTGCTCTGTGGTACATTCAGCTGGGGATGTTGCAAAGTGAAGGTGTAATTTAACAGCTCCTTCTGAAGTGCCACTGTTTTCCCCCCCTAAAGATATGAATAAAAGTTTTGCTGTCACTCAACAAAATATGAACTGGTGCCTGTCCTGCTGAGACAACTTCTGAACCACAGCAGGTCAGTGGTTTCCTGGCCACATGAAGGTTGCAGCAGAGTCAATCCCCACTGATCCATGTAGGATCTCCAAGGATGTTGTTACTTCTTACTTTCCAAGCAGCAAGGTGAACCAGGCATGTAACAAATATTGTATGGTCACCTGTGCAGCCTCAGAATGAGCATTTAACATGGGGGGGAAAAGGATGTAAAGAGGTAATGTGTGTGTGTGTGTGTGTGTGTGTGTGTGTGTGTGTGTGTGTGTGTGTGTGTGTTTTAGGAGGTGAGGTTAATTTTTAAGCCAAGAAATATCCTGTTTGGAAATAACTGTTTGATTCACATGGTTTTCTAGAGCTGGAAGAAGAATGTGTATTGTTTGGGTCAAGGAAAAGTCTGTAATTTTGGGGAGCCATTCTGAAAATGAAAAAAGTGACATGATTAGTACAGGGATTCTCTAACTGCCTACCCATGAGACTAAAGCTTTTTTATTTTCCTACTTGGCCATGCATAAGTTTTCATGCAGGACGGCTGCTTTTGGGAGCCTGATGATGCCAAGTATAGACTGGCTATCATTTTCTCTCCCATTCCTACATCTGGAGCAGTCCAGTCAAGGAGCGTATTGTGAAAACAATGACATTTTAAAATTAAACTAATTACTGAGAACAAATAATTCATGTTATGACAAAAATAGTTTCAGGTAATTTAGCAAGTGGCATCTGTGTTGTAGCCATCTGCAGCTGGATCTTGCCTGTCTCTTAGTTGGGGAATTTTCTTTCAATTGATACTGTCATTGAAATAGCTGACACTCAACTCCACATGCTGTAACTTTCTGTTTTCTGCTTATTTTAATGCTGGCTGATTCTCCTGGATTCCCTGATCTCCTTATTAATTATACATTGAAAAGATAACAAAATATTATGAAGTACTGCCATGTCTGTGGAATCCAGCATATTGGATTTTTTTTTTTTGCCTGGTGTGCCAAGCAAGATTAATTATTCTGATAATAACAGGATTAATCCATTCATCAAATGCAGTAAAAAGGCACTGTTAACACTCAGACCGAGTTATTCTCGGTCTTGAGAGGTGCAAATAACAGAACTGGCATTTAGAGGGCATTTGTGCCTTTAAAAAGCCCCATTCCCCTGTTACCTTCTCCTGCTCCTCGAGCCAGATTCTTGCTGCAGGGTTGGCTGTTGCCATGGGGGCAGGAGGCAGCCCTGTGGAGGGCTGTGTAGGTATGAAGGTTTGGCAGAACCCTCGAATGTTAGGTAGACAGTATAATTACTCGAGAAAGGAAGTGATTTTGTTTTTCTCTGCTTGCCTTAGTTCCTGCTTTCCTATGGTGAGATTGCCAAGAACGGTTGCACGGCTTTCAAAAGCTAATTTGAGGTCAGACAGCGATTCAAAATCGATTCTTGAGTTTTGTCAAGTGTGAGCTGCAGCCGAAGGGTCTGATTTGGGAAGAGGGTGAGGAGCAGCCACGCTGGCACAGTGCCCTCATGGGCGGTTCCAGCTGCCAGCATCTTCTGTACCAGCCTCCACGTTTCTGCACTTCCTCTGAACTGATAAAACTCAGGGACAGGTTCCTTTCAGCTTAAAGGCCACGTGTTCAAAAATTGCGTCTCTTTTGGTATCGGGAAAGGAAAAGAGAGATCTCTGGAATGTGCCCTCATTAAAAGGAGGCTGCACGACTGGAGACTGTCTCAGCTCATGCATTTGCAACTGAAACACCTCAACTTTCCAGAAGTCTCTAAATGGACTGCTTTCAGTCGGAACAGTACACAGGCATTATAAAACCTGCAATTACTTTTACTGTAGGGCCATAAAATATAGATCTGTTAAAGTCTGGGTGCAGAACACACGGACATCCCACAGTTCCGACCAGCACAGATGAAAGTCTATTATGGATGATGAAAACAAGGTACTAGAAAATCCATTAGAGCTATTTGTTCCCACTTGCAATGATAGCCCCTGTAACCACATTAAATCAAAGCATCTCTGGGACTTCATTACAAATTTCTTTTATCGATACCAGACACTGATATAAATAACAGTGTAACAAAATCAGGTAGAAGAAATTACATTGCATTGTATGATTTAGGGATCTGTGATCAATTATTTAGCATTTGTATCAGAGATGCACTTAATGTTTTCATTGGAGTGGGACTCTCTAGTGTTAGGGACTGTACACGTATTGAGCGGACAGAAATCACTGGCCCAGAGTGCTTTGACCACCTAAATTGGGTTAAGGGCACAAGAGTGTAAAATGAGAGAGCAAAAATTATTAAACTCCTCTCTAGATACCACCGCTCTGGGATTGCAACTGTACTCATATCCAGTAAGAGAATGGAAAGGCATGTTTGCTTTTGAACTCTAGGAAAGAGTAAAAACAGAGGCCAGCAGAAACCTGCAGTCACTGTGTGTAACAGCTCCCTCCTCCTGCTATTCAAGCCCCTCTTTTTCTAATATGCCATCAAAAAAAAGGAACAAGATTGGCTGATGTCTCTTCTGGAAATAACGATGATGGTCAAGAATGATTCGCAAAGAGAAGCAAGAACAGCGTGTTTTTGGGGTAAAAACCAGAACAATTCTTTCCACAATGGCACGTAGGGATAGGGTAAGGGATAACAGCTTTAAACAGAAATGGGGTAGATTTGGATTAGGTGTTAGGGAGAAATTCTTTACTGTGAAGCACTGGAAGAGGCTGCCCACAGAAGCTGTGGCTGCCCCATCCCTGGAAGTGCTCAAGGCCAGGCTGGACAGGGCTTGGAGCAACCTGGTCTAGTGGAATGTGTCCCTGCCCATGGAATGGGGCTTGGAACAAGATGACCTTTAAGGTTCATTCTAACCCAAACCATTCTATGATTCTATGATTAAGATGGTGGTTGTCCTTTAGATAGGAGTCTGAAGGGAATATTAGCCTTGTTCTCCCTGATCCATCAGAAGGTTTGTATTCGAGTTTGCAGGTTCTATAAGTTCAAAGCATAAAAAGGAGATATGACTCAAACATGCCAATAAAGTCAGAGAAAGTAAAGTGAACTCAAAACAATGATTTCCCACACACACACACACAGAGCTCTGTTTGCAGTATGTAATTCTCATGAGCTGGTTGGCAGTCCTGCAATAACCAGGCACAACAGCATGGGTTGGGAATGTATCATCAGTCTTAGTTTGCAACTTCTTTGCTTTTGTTGTCTTATATAACCTCATCATACTTAAACAGTGGTATGCATCTTTGTGGAAAAAAAAAAAAAACACAAAAAACTTGAAATAAACTATAGCAAATCCATCAGTTTTAGCATAAATTTGCCTTTTAGAAATCTAATATTCATATAACCCCAAATTATAAGAACCATGACTTGTTGACATAGTTGGGCAGATATGTTACAAGTCACTGGCTTCAAAATAATTTTAAACAATAAATCTGAAACTCAGACTTGTACAGAGCTACATTTGCAGGGACTGCCTGTGTGGGTGCAGTTCAGTTAATGAGGGCAGAGGCTCTAACTACCTTAAGGATGTGAAAATCCAGTTTTTACTCAAGGTGGCTTTGCAATCTCAGCATGTTTACTCAATGTTATCACCTCCATGCATTTGTCCCTCTGTCAGGGAAACATGTTCCTGTCCTGAAGGATGATACTGCGGTAATGAAGACAGGTTTCCAGGAGTTTTCTTTCAATGTGCATGTGGGGGAGAATGGATTGATGCTCTGGTCTCCTGTAGGCCTGGAGTGGCAGAGAATTCTTTGTCTGCCCGTAAGAATAAAGCCACGGAGGCCTTCTCCAAGGTCTGGGCAGCTGGAGTTGATGCTATTCCAGGCAGCAGCAAAATCTCAGTACAAGCATGAATGCTTGTTCTCAACCCAGGTCCTGTCAGTCATGTGGGCTGGTTGGCCCCAAGACAACCTGTGGCAACTGATCCTCTGCCTCTCTTTGGGTCTGAAAGCCTGGATTTGTTGTATCATCTTCATTCTTTAAAAGGAGGAGTGGAGATGAGTATCCTAATGAAACAGAGCCTTTGGGAAAGTTCCTATTACTAATTTGATCTTTAACCTACCATGGAAAAGGACTAAATAGAGTGTGTCTACATTACTATATACAGAAAGCAGGGGACCCTACAAGTTACAGCATTATGTGAGTACTGCCCCCTTTTCTCTTCCACTTCACTGTAGAAACGTACCAGAAAGGTGGATTTATCAATTTTGTACCAAAAACCTACATATTAAATAAACGCACAGCCTGTTTGCTCCCTCCAGCCCACCATCATGATCTCTCCAAACAGCTGGACTGAATGCCTTATAGCAAAGCCAAGAGGCAGAAAAGATTCCTATCCTCACAGTAATGGCATGATACAAACAATATCCTTGTCTCAAGTATCTCTGACAAAAAAACTTTTGAGGTTTAGTTGAAACATCAAACATCCTTGAACATGGCTTCTGAACACATCAAAGTTACACTTTTTATGTGCATATGTGTATTATCTGTGTACATATGTATCTATATATAAATATTAAAAGAATTTAATATTCATTCAGCTTCCATTCCTGGCGAGCGGATTACTTCCATCAGGTTTAATAGGAGAGTAAAATCAAGCCCCAGCTCAGGAAAGGGCTTCATTCTGGGCTTTGAGGAGGTGACATGTCCCAGAGACTGCAATTAGGCATGTCAGCAAAAGCTTTGCTGACTAAGGACTTCCAGAGCTCAGCTGGTGTGGAGGGCAGCATCCAAGCTGGACGCTATAGGATGTTGACCTCTCCTGAGAACCCTGTGCAGCAGCCAACCATCTGCAAAACATGCAGAGTAATCATAACAATTCCCTTGGCAGCCTCTTTCAGAGAGGAAAGGGAAAAGAAATGGTAGAAAATAAAAAGGAAATTCATTTCAGTTAACGTTGAAATACTCCTGTGATTATTGCCTTCACATTTTTTAGTTTGGGGCTATATATTAGAACATTTCTACTCTCAACACCAAATGTTGTAACAAGGTCCTCAGGGCTAAGACAAAAAAGAAAACCTGTTATACTAGTTTTGTATTCTCCCCAAATGACAAAGGTAGATCTTGATTCTTGAGAGGAAATGTTGTTTTAGGGGTAGTTAGCATTATTTATTAGATGCCACAAATAGTTTTCATATCTAATTGTAGAGATGGCCAACTTCCTGGCCCCATGAGCAATATCCCAAAATCTTCATATGCTTGACAGTCTGTTATCCCAGAATTCATAAGAAGAGGAAGGGCAAGAAGGTTATGGGTTATTGGTTGGAGGGGTTTTTTGTTTGATTTGGGAGGTTTTTTGTTTGTTTTTGGTTTTTTTTTTCTGAAGCACTAATATACACAATTCACAATACACAATCTTGCTGTACCTGATGCTCTGAGCTCATTCCTTCCTCTGGAAGCACTGGTGGTGGCAAGTGTTGCTTTGCTGAATAGCTGCCTCTGGTTAATAACTGCAGCATTATCAGACCAAAATTGTTTCCCAGGAAAGGCCTGTTTACACAGGAGAGGTCAAAAGGTGCTGGTGTCCCCATATGGAGATGAGCCTGTGAGAGTCCATGAAGTTGACTTTAAAATAAAGGCATGTTTTAGCAGGTTCAGTTCTGAAGTACATTGCGTATACAAATGGAGGAACAGAAAGTAAAATGAAAATATTTTTCATGTGCCACTTGTAATAATAACCCTTTAAATACTTTGTGAGCCCTCTAGTGGTGCTCTCCATGCCCTGGAAACCTCCAGGAGCCAGCTGGAGCCAGGTAGCCCTTTAGCCCACTGTGTTAGTACCAACACTGCTCTGCAGGGTTCAGCGTGCACATCTCCTTCTTTCAGGCTGCCTTTTAAACCACTGAGGTGAGAGCTTTACTTCTGCTTCCCGTGATAAAACATTCTTTTAAACATAACGGGGAACACACTGAAGCATCTCTCTCTCTTTAGTTTCCCTGTGCAAGTTTGGTTTGTCTGCAAGAGGTGCCTGGTCCTTAGCAGGTGTCCTGGAGCTCCTTGGATCCCACCCTGCAGCTGGCACCACAACCCCACGGCGTTATTCCAGCCTGTAGGTGCACACACCGTGCTTGTGCAGAGATAACATTATAATGAGCCCCTGGGGTGGTGTCTCTGTGAGGTAGAAGCTGTGCCTGCCTTGTGTGTGGTGCTGCTGCTGGCTGGTACACGAGCCCAGCCCCTGTGAGGGCTCTGCTCTCACAGAGGTGCGTGGCTCCCGCATCCCAGGCAGCTGTGGTGGACAATTAAGACAACAGCACGCCTCCCCTGGCTGCCACAGGTCTGTTTTCCAGCATGCCATGCTCTGTAGGGTTAAGCAGCGTAAGTAAGGATGCAGTGCTGCAAGCAAGACTTCACCAGAGGGGAATAATTTGGCTGGAAAAATCCTAAACTCATTTCTAAAAGAGCTCAGCTACGGGATTTCTGTGCAATGAAAAGCATCACTCTGCTTTTATTCTAAACACAGTTTGGAGTGCTCCTTTATTTTTTAGAATTGACTCATAAAGACTACAGGAGGGCACCAATTAGTGAAATAAACCTCTAATCCTCAGTGCAGTGCCTGCTATAGGACTGCTGTTTAACAGCCTTCTTGCTAATCAATTCTCTTCAGTCGGCTAAATGCCATAGATGCTATGTAAATAAATGCAAGTTTAAGAGTGTTCTTCTGTGAGCGGTAAAAGCTCTGTTCCTTCTACTCCACCATAAAATCAGCAGGCATGTTAACAGATATCTACTCCACCTTGTACAAATGACTTTCCTTGTTCGTTTGATTGCTGCAGCTTGGGGAAAAAAACAGAAGCAGGGAGTAGCAATAAAGTGCCTGTTTCTTCTTGGGCAACATTTTAAACATCTGATACCTCTATGGCAACCAAGGCATAGAACAAAGATGTATATTTTAGAGGCAAAATAAGGTCCACAGTTTGGGCTGCTATTTTACTTCTGTTATAAATTTTAAGCCAGACTGTCATACTTCAGCTTTCTGGGTAAAATGGCTGCTCCTCATCACCTTCTTCATGTATAACCTTCATCCCAAGGAGATGTTTTCTCCTTGCAAGTTCAGATATTAGTGAAACACATAATAGATGTAGTTTGAAATGAGGCAGTGTGCAAAATCCTATCAAAAGCAAATGAAACCAACTCTATCAAGGGTGATGGTAAAAGCCATGTTGTCTTTAATGGGATGAGAATTTCACCCCTAGTGTTGGTGTGTCAGTGAGCAACACCTTTTAGCTAACAATTTTTTTTTTTTTTCCAAAGCGGGATCAAAGAAATCTGGGCAATTTTGTGTATTTGTCATTTCTCTTCTGTGCTGTCCTGAGGCAAGAGCAGTGATGCTCAGAAAGGGATAATCAAACAGTTAATATTTCCAATACTTCATCCCAGTATCCTTCAACACAGAGATCAGTGTGAGAAAATGAAGACAGGAGAGGACTAAATTGCTTGCCCTGAATTATCCATCAGAACTTTAAATAAAGCAAAGGTCTTTGGTATTGAGCAGACATTTAAAACAAAGTAAATAAGATGATGCTGTGTCCCGCAAGTTTCACTGAACTGCTTACCTAACATTCTTGTCAGTCTTTATACTTATGTTGAATAACAAATCTTGAATAAACAAAACATTTTATATGAGTGCCTTTTCAAGAATTTTGAAAAGCTCCATGGTTCCAATATCTTGCCTGTGTAGGAAAATGTATCCTTTCCTCTTTCTTTCCCTTCAGTGTAGATTTTTAAAATAATTTCTTATGTTGTGATACATACCACTTGCAACTTCAAACACTCACTCTTTTTACAAATAAATGATCTTAATTATACAAATTCCTTCTGCACAGAGGGAATTCATTGATATAGCAATGTCTTATACATTAATAGTAACTAATGTCCACATATCTTATTTATCAATATTTTAGCATATAGGACAGGTGATGAGCTTTTCACTGATTAAAATGATGAGTCAAAAATTACTCAATTGACTGACCACATGCACAATACGCATGATTGCCGAAACCTAAGAATTTCATAAAGCAGAAACAAAGCTGCCACATTTCTTGCTCTCCAAATGTTACCAGTCATGGAGCTCATTTCCTATTTCCTCTGATGCACACAGACACACAACATTTTCAGCATCTTTATTAAAAATATAACAATTTCTTTGGAGAATAGTTGAGAAGGTTTGTTTCTTTATTTCAATTTTATTTTTAGTATGACAGGCTTGGAAATTTTATTTTTGCTTTTCTTAAATTATCAAGACCCTATCCATTTAGGAAAACCTTCGGGGGGATTTCTCTCTACCTAGCATTAGACTGAAAATACCCATGTTTAGTATAAAATAGATTTAAAACACGTAGCATAATTTCCTGCCAAAGATCCGTGTCTACTGTTACTGGGCCTAGTGGTTTGTCACAATAAAAGGCTCTTGAACACTTCCAGTGATGGTGACTCCCTGTAAAACTTATTCCAATGCCTATAACCACTCTTCTAGTGAATTTTTTTTTTTTAAATCTAATCTGAATCTCCCCTGGTGTAACTAAGGGCCACACTCTCTTACTCTTTCCCCTGAGGCACAGCAGAAGAGACCCCACCTCACTACGACCTCCTTTCAGGTAGTTGTAGATGTCTCTGGGCTCCTTTCATGGTCACAGCTGAGATAGGGGCATCCTTATCACTTGCCCAGAGAAGTGTATTTCCCTCCACTAATCAGTAAATCAGCCCTGGTGGATGAACCTCCAGGAGCTAAAATTTGCCTCTACAAATTTTGCCCCCAGTTAAACCCCCTTCCATCCAAACCACTGGTGTCACAGAACTGGAGGGGGTGCCTTCATACTAAAAGTAGCTCTGCCAAGTCAGTGCCCACCTTCCACTGAAAAGAAAGGTCCTGCTCCTTCTCCCCTGCCCCTTCATCCCAGCTGCAGGTGCCCTCCTTCTCCTCATGCTGGCTTTGGAAGTTGCGTGGCCTTAGGGTGAGCCGTCTCACTTGACAGGTTGACCTATTTGGCGCTAAACTGTTCTTATATTTGCATATTTATTTATATGCAGTGTTGGATTTCCACTGGGTCAATTCTCTGAACTGATTTGCCCCAGGGCTCTCTGAACACCAGAGCCATCCCAAGGGGAATGGGGCAGGAGCATGTGGCAGGACTCAGTGAGATGCGAGACCATAGCCCCAAGATGAATCTCAGGGGTAGCTTAATGTTCTTCCTGGTCCCATCACCCACAGCTGTTCTGTCCAGCTCCAGGAGCTGCAGGAGCTGCCTTTGCAGAGAGCCTGATGCTTCTTTGCAGTCCTCATTTCCAGCTGCGCTGACAGAAATGCACTTCACTGCCTGCTGTGTAGGCAGGCAAGGGCCCACCCACCCTGGTGGGAGGGGGCAGGCAGGACAGGAACATGGGACCACAGCACATAGGTAGGACGCAGATGGCTAGAGATACTCTGGAAGAGGAAATCATGAGCTCTAGCTGTGAGATTGCATCCTTGGGAGCCCCTCCAAAAGTGTTCACCGTGTCCCTCTTCCCACATTGCTCGGCACATCTTTCTCCTCTTGAGGAACAAATGTCTCCTTATGGCAAGGGCTGTGGATTGATTTTAAAACACATGAAGCCAGCTGAAAACAAAATGTATGTGACAGCTATCACGAAACTGCAGCTCTATCAGTAAAGGCTGCCTGGATGTCTAAACAGTCCTGTGAAAAAAGTCTGACTCGCTGTGGTGGCAGTCGTCAAACCCCGACACGACAGGAGGTATCCTTTCTGTCCCCACACACATCCCAGAAGCCAGAACTGTCTCTCTGCATCTGGCTTATAAAAACTTACTTCTCGTGCTACACATATCAATTCAGTCTTGTTTCCTTCTCTGTGATGAACAAATGTGAGCATTTGAGCTCAGCAAGCCACAGCTGTGAGATACCTCTGACAGGGAATCTGCAAACCCAAATCCCCCAGTCTGATGAATATTCTCAAAACTAAGCACATTCAGGCTTCTGTACACTGGATATCACATGGGCTTTCACAAGATGTGAGGGACTAGCAAAACAGAACAGTGAGCTTAATTATGAAACAAAAAGAAACTATGAGAGCAACTATGCAGTAGCTAAGTCTACCCAAAAAAAACCAGAATGAACTCTGCTTTCTTGAGATTTGAAGGACTAGCTGTTACAGGCCTGGTTTATCACTGTCTTATACCAATTTTATGTTGGTATAAAAACAGGTTGATAGAGCTATGCTGAATAGCCCTAAGTCTGCATCTCTTCTGTCATATACTCTCACAGGTATAAAACAAGCTAATAATTGAGAAAATCAAAGAAAAACCTACTAAAAATGAAATGGTAGAAATGTCAGGTGTGGGGGAAGAGAATCATTATACTCCTTGATCAATGCACTTTTACTGTAATGATCCAGCCTGAGGGCAACAAAAATTTATTGAAAATCTTAATTTTCAGCAAGATAAAGACCTTTTGCAAAGCAGCATTAATATGTCTTTGATAAGTAATTAAACCAGGCTGAAAGTTTCTTAAACATTCTAAACATGCATCTTACGTATTTGGCCATCTCC